AGGATCGATCATGTATGCTATGACGTGTACTCGACCTGATGTAGCCTTTTCTTTGAGCATGGTTAGCAGGTATCAGGGGAACCCTGGCAAGGCACACTGGACTGCGGTAAAGAATATCCTCAAGTACCTACGGAGGACTAAGGACTGGGTCCTTACCCTCGGTGGGAGTGAAGACTTGAGAGTTGTAGGGTATAGTGATGCTAGCTTTCAGACTGATAGGGATAATTTCCGCTCTCAGTCAGGCTGGGTCTTTACCTTAAATGGAGGAGCAATTTCTTGGAAGAGTTCCAGGCAAGAGACAGTGGTTGATTCAACTTGCGAATCAGAGTATATAGCAGCTAACGAGGCAGCAAAGGAGGCGATATGGCTGAAGAACTTCATTGGAGACCTTGGAGTTGTACCAGCGATTAAAGAGCCAATGGAAATTTTCTGTGATAGTGAAAGTGCAGTTGCCTTAGCCAAGGAACCAAGGGATCACGGGAGATCCACACACATCGACAGAAAATACCATTTCATCAGAAATCGAATAGAAGAAGGACTCCTCGTGGCAAAGAGGGTATCATCGGATGAGAATCCAGCAGATCCCCTCACGAAGGGACTGACTCGGGTTAAGCATCTCCAGCATGCTCGGAGCATAGGGCTGAAGGATGATATTAGATTTAGTAGTTAGATAACCTTGAAATTTGTAAAGTGTAATTGACATTAGATGATGAATAAAAGGTGTTTTATTTATGAGTAAAGTGTTGTTATCTCTTGACGATCGTTTACTATATTTCTTTTGCATGTTTTGACTTCCAGAATAATTATGTTTGGTATATCATATTATTCGAACCTCCATAGTCGGTCATATGTCGGAAGTAGGTATGAATCAAGACTGTCATGATTGGTTGCAGAGGTCTAAGTTGTTGGACATGGCTACAACACTCATGAGTGCTCATAAGTTCTGAGCATTGGACTCAACCCATGCTCACTGGAATCACTTCATGGAATTTATCTCGAGTGATCGTGAGACGGTAATATCATATAAGTCTTCAAACCTAGAGATATGATTTGTTACTTATGAGTTGGTTATGCATTGATTGTACGTTAACACATTGGTAACTCGATGTTATAAAACGTGCTTTTGTGTATAATTCAATGAGTGGTAGAACAAACATATGAGTCGAAGTTTATCTGTTCCTTCTTGGATTAGAAGCTGATATCTGGGCCCCTCGATGATTTTGTTTTGACCTATGTACCGGGCCCGGTCAGAACTAAGTTGATGTGTTCAATTAAGTTCTTTGTCAAACAAATCGGAAATCGAGAAACAAACTGCTGGACACAAAGTAAGACACTGTTCCATGTATTTGTCCGGCTGATATCTAGAACAGAGGATTATATGATCACTTATCTTAAATGGCGTATCATCATCTTCTCAGTTCCGAGAGACCTTGAAAGAGCTACGATTGCCGATCGGTTCCTGAAGTATTGCAGTTATAGTTATTAGACTTATCCAAGTGGGAGACTGTTGGATAAGGTGTATAAGTCCATAACTATTTCTGGTATGACCGTCGGGATGACCGAGTCGTTGATGCCAAATGGACGAAGAGGTGGAGATGAAGAAATGACTTGTGGAACTTGTGACTCGATATAGAGGCCCTTTGCTATCATAAAAAATGAGAGGATGGCGTGTATGATAATCAAGAATGGTGAAACCATAAGTATCAAAATCAATAGAACAATTGTTGTTAGTGGTAAATTTGCGAACATATATGAGTTTTTTGATAATATTAAGCGTGATGATGACATTTTGTAAATGAAGGGTGCGATAGATATATGGAAAAGGAAAAATGGTATGTCCCGATGTCACAACAGGTATTGTAGAACCGTTACCAACATAAATAGATCGAGCATATTTATTATTAGAGACAATTTTGAGTATACCTGTATTGGCGTGAACGTGGTCGGTTGCTCCAGTATCCATGACCCAACCATTATTTCCAGGACCATTCAGCGAGATAGTATCAAAAAAACTGGGAGTGAGGTGGGCTGATCTGTACCGAGCCAGGCCCATGAGGGTTGACCTGGTCCAGAAGATTACACACGGCCTTGAGGAGTAGCAGTCGAGTAGTGCACGAATTATGGAGGCATGCTACTAAGAATTCTTGGGCCGATGAAAGTAGACCTGCCACAATTTCCATTAGGTTGGTTGACCGGCTCTGGAATATGATGTAAAGGAACCCAATTCTGTTGGACATGACCTGATGGATTCCATAATTGAGAATCATATGGGGGCGGTGGAAAGTAAACCCATCTGTAATGGGTGTTATAAAGACGTAACGAGTTTTATGAAGATGCTGACTAGCAACGAATGAAGGTGGTTATTGTTGGCTTCGCTGATGATTGTTGCTACTTCCACCATGGTGACCATTATTCCCCCGATTTAAGGAAGCCAATTGAGCGCTAACTTGGAGCAGTGAAGGTGTTGAAGGATAAGTCTCGTGAGATGGGAGAGTGACTTGGTGATTATTAAGTCTCTTTTCTTCAACCAACAACATTGACCTCATCTCAGAAAATGTGGGTAGAGGTTTAGAGAAACGTATGATTCCGGAAACACTCTCGATTTTACTATGGATGTCGTTTAAAGCATGGAGTACCACATTGCGATCCTTGACCTTTTCACCAGACCTTCAAGAAAGTCTGCAATCTTCTTGATCTTCTCACCGTAATAGTGAATGGTAGAATCTCCCAAGGTTATGTTTCGTAGCTCACTCTCTAGCTGCATTGCAGTGGACTCGATATCATCATAGAAAAGCGACTTGACCTTTAACCAAACCTTACGAGTCGTTGTATTGATGGAGTAGGCGGATGTGATTAGCTTTTGAGAGATGGATCCAAAAATCCATAGTTTCACAAGTTGATCGAGTTCTTTCCACTTAGTGTCGGTAGGATGGGTATTGGCGGGTCGAAAGTGTCGTCAATATGAGCAGCAACATCTTAGGCAATGCAGTGAGCATGGAACAGATCACTCCATGGTTCATAATTGCGGGCGAAGAGATCAAGGATAAAAGGGATGTATGTTTTGATGTTAGTGATGTCATACGCCTTGTGAGGAGGTTTTGAAGGGGAGTTGCTTTCACCTGTCATGATGAAGAAGAAAGAAACAGAAGATAGAGGGAGAAGAAGATAACGTCAACTGATGAGGAAGTTGACAAAATGTAATGCAAGATCGGCTAGGGTTTATTGGGTCTCTGATACCATGATAAACACTATTTTCCCATGAATCTATTCTCATTCATGGAATACGTATAGATAATGCACGATACATACAAGGCACATGGGCCAATACAAAGGGGGCATAACTACAATGGGCTATAATACAAACATATACATAAATATATAAATGTGTATCCGCTAACAGAAACGATTCCCACTCCCGGTGGATAGACTTTATAATCTTAACCCATAAAGCATAATCTCTAGTAAACGAAAACCCCCAACACCATTTTGTTAATAAGGCTCGATTAAAGGCATAAAGACCTCCCACACCAAATCACCTTTATCCTTGGAAGCTAAAACTAACTCCCATTTCACCTAATAAAATATTCCCTTCGTGATCACCAATAAATAAATAAATAAACTTACACTTCCCACACCAACCCCCACCCCCCCCCCCCCCCCCCCCCCCTTTATCCTCGGAGGTTAAAAGTTAAAACTAACTCCCATTTTACTTAACAAAATATTCTCTTCATGCAATTCGCCACCCAAAAAAATGAGAACAAATAACTTCCAACATACAATAAACGGTATTTGGAACTTTAATAATAGACAAAATATATATGAGTAGGCTCCCTAACACATATTTCAAAATAGTAAGATAGCTACCAATCGAAAGTATTTTCATTTTCCAACACGCGACTCTGTCGGAAGATCCAAATAAGTAAAAAGAAATGAGGCTAATCTACACCCAATAACCAAGGCTATATGTGCAATCTCGACCTCATTCACCGCTATCCAAAAAGATTGGACTTCTACAAATTTATGCTTAATCCAGAAACTAAGAAAAAACATTGTAATATCCAAACAAGATTTGTGACATCATGTATCTTTCAATCACCTATAAATTTTGCATCAAGATTTGTGACATCATGTATCTTTCAATCACCTATAAATATTACATGGTTGGCATAAAAATAAGAAATAGACAAACCTCCATGACTAATAACCGCACCTTTATAAAAACAAATGAGATATAGATAAACAATGCCGTTTTTTTTACTTAATGCTTAAACCATAGCTTAATGAGTTAAGAGGAAAAAAGCTTTATGCATTCAGACATTCCCCACATTCCTTTTTACTTCTTTGTTTCCATCTCCTCCGCTAAACTCCTTCCCCTCAATTTTTCACACAACACCCAATCAATTCCAATAGAAGTTCAATACGATTGAAAAGATGTAAACCATCGCTAAGCTTTCTTTAACGTGACTTTTAGTGTTTTCTAGTTTTTGTTTTAGTTTTTTTTTTCCAATTACTTTTCTTATTTTAAGCATATTAACTATTTTATATATTGTGTATCTACATTTATTCAATTGTGTTGTTGGGCCTTGTTAGCTGGGCTGCTACAAAAACAGATATATATATATATATATATATATATATATATATATATATAATATATATATATATATAATATATATATATATATATATATATATATATATATATATATATATATATAAGATATATATATATATATATATATATATATATATATATATATTCAGAAAGCCCAAATCAGTTTCTAACGAATTTACATTTCTTTTGCCTCAACCCAACTGAGCATATTTAATTTTTTATGCCCGGATTTTATTAACAAGCTCTATTTAGTTTTATTATTTCATATTTAATAATTTTAATGTATTTTATAGTTAAGTTTACAACAAAATGTATTAGCCAAGAAAAATAATTATAACATCAAACTTTTTTTTTATTATTTTATTTTATAAAAGACTAAATGGTTTATGCATGTCAATCCACATAAAAATTGGCTATACTAAAATTTTCATTCCATTCTAATGCGAATTGGATCTTGTCTAAGTAATGTAACTCAACAGAATACGATAATTAACTATTTTTATAAAGTACTATATTTCATTTGATTAAACTAAGCACACACTTTTTTATTCAAATGAAGAAAATCTTTTGTTTTTTTTTTTTTTGTAATTTCATTATAGAACATAACAATAACTTATTTTTGACAATAACACTCTAAAATAACTAACAAATTCAGAAAACAAACGATAAAAATATTATGCTATTACATATTACATATTAGGATTGTTGTTGATGCCATTGATGAAAGTACAAATTCTCTTGCGCAAAGTAACAGCATTATCAGCAGCAGGGTAAAATAGGAAAAACACATGGTCTACCTCTTTATCCTCAATAACCTCAATGCCTCCATTCCACGCATTTTTACCCAAAATATCCTTATAATACCATCCCCTATCCTTCAAATATATCCTTTTCAGCAACACAAACCAGTACCTTGGAGCATCTAAGATCCGACACTTTCGGATCCTTATCCGGGTTAATCAGCTGGTCATCCAACCCACTTGTTCTCGGGTGGGCAAACATCCATACATCCTCCATGAATGGCTTCCATGGGTGTTCGCCTTCAGATCCGATCCGATCTGCTCCCCAAAAATACGGGTGGAGCAGGATAATACCCTGTAGATTTATACTCAATCTAGGATTTTCTGACCCGACCCGGATTGCCATGTGGTGAGCGATGGTGGCACCGGCGCTGTCGCCGGCGAAGAATACATTTTCAAGATCTGCATAGTCGTTGATCCATGGCTCCGGGCAGTTTCCAGCGACCCATTTGATTGCTTCCCAGGAATCGTTTAAGCAGGTGGGGACGGGATGCTCCGGCGCCGTTCGGTAGTCAACGGAGACGATGACGACGTTGGATTCAGCTGCGACGAGGTTTGAGAAGTTATGGTAGAGAGGGGAGAAGGGGGATTCGATGATGAATCCGCCGCCGTGGAAGTAGATTAGAAGAGGGAGTTTTTTGGTGGCGGTTTTAGGAAGGTAAAGCCTGGCGGAGATGTTGGTTTCAGGTGAGATGACGACGTCTTTGGATTGGACGCCGGAGGAAGGATCAATGCCGGCGGGAAGGACATCGGTGCCGGTGAGTTTCTGGAATCGGCCATCTTCGTATACTCGAATGATACCGCGAATTTCTTTAACAATCTTATCTGATGAATCCATCTGCAAAAGATGTGGGGAAGATAGAAGTGAGCCAGTGAGGTATACTCGAATAAAATATGTAGTATATATAATAACATCATCTAATATAATAAAAACTAGAAAGGGCACGCGGCTCCGCCGCCTTTGGATTATGTCATAGAAGTTCGCCGCCTTTGGATTATGTCATAGAAGTTAAAAATCGGCAAACTTTAAAAGATGTGTTGAAAGTGTAAATCGCCACAAATAGGGGAGAAAGCCGACAATCCCTAAAATTAAATGTCGAAAGTGTAAAAAAAAAAGAACACTGATGGAGAAAACCCAAAAATGTTGTGGCTATAGTATAAAAGTTGCCAAAGTTTTGGAAAATATGGTGGGAAAATTTTAAAGAATATTTTTTGTGTTTTTTATGTGAAACTGTAAAAGTTTTGACTTTAAGGACGAAAAGTGTCAAACTCATTAAAGATTTTGTGGCAAAAATACCAAAATATAAAAGTTTTGACTGTAAGGACTAAAAGTGTCAAAGACACTAAAGATTTATGTCAAAATTCTAAAGGCACGAAAACTTAATAAAAACGTAAAAATGTAAAAGTTTTGATTTTAGAGACCAAAAATGTCAAATTCACTAAACATTTGGGACAAAAAAAGAAAATTTTGTGGCAATAGTTGACAAATGAAGAAAATTATGTGGCAATAGTGTGAAGAGCTGGAACTTTGCTTAGGATGGGACAAAAAAAGAAAATTTTGTGGCAATAGTTGAAAAATGAAGAAAATTTTGTGGCAATAGTGTGAAGAGCTGGAACTTTACTGTTCCTAAGCTCCCTTAGCTTTAATATATATATATATATATATATATATATATATATATATATAATATAAAATAAAATGCATGATATCAGAAAAAACGTTTCTTTTATTGTAAAGATTTTGGAAGATCCGAGTGTGGGTGGTTGATTTGAGTAAATTTTTTTAATAATCAACAATGTTACAAAACCTTTTTACTAAAAAAAAAACTCATTCATACAAACTAAGAGTTACAAACTTCATCTAAATAGATGTGTTGAAAAAGCTCATTCATACAAACTAAGAGTTACAAACTTCATCTAAAAAGATGTGTTTGAAGTAATTGATATTGTTCATTGTAGTTTGTTTATATGACCTTTTTTTTTTAAGATAATCAAATAACACTTTATAGGGCTTTAGATCTTAATTTAATCTTATGGACATATCTTAGGCTCCGTTTGATAGTAAGCTAACTGGGTTCGGTCAGCCCATTTGCTAAAGCTCGAAACTGACTGATTTGGTCTGCAATTATCAAACAGTCTCTTAGTTAGACCAAGAAATTGATCCGCAAAATAGTTCCAGTAATGTAATGGGTAAGGGCGCGACCGAAAAGTAGAAATGTGAAAAAAGCGGAAAATGATATTCTTGATTGATAAATATTACTTCGATTGATTCTCATTTCAAAGATGTATGAGGTTGCACTTTGAGATAGTTTGTGTGAGAAATAGGAGCATCTGCATTTACACATTAATTAAGATGTTTGTTAAAATGTATGAGAATGTATAAAGACGTAAGACACTACTTTAAATACGTAAAACGATAATCCACATGTGTAATGTTTCATTATGGGCGTGTTTGGCACGCAGCGTTTGGGAGCTTCTGGCTTCTAGCTTTTAAGAAAACGCTAGTAAAAAAGAAAAAAGTTTCGTTCAACGACAGAAGCGTTTAACTTTTAACATAAACAAAACGCTCCAAAATCAAAAGCTACATGGAGTAGCTTTCAACAAAACGCTTCAAAATCAAACGCTACCCGCTAGTTTTGCCGGACACGCCCTATATAGGCATAAATCGACGTTTCATACGTAAAAAAATGTTAAGTTTACATTATTTATAAGTATTAGAGGTTATAATTGTAAATAAAGCATAATAAGAGGGTTGATATGTAAATATATAGTTAGCTGTTATTTCAGTTATTCTGTTAGATGCTCATTTTGAGCTGATATAAGTTCTTGTATCATTTTCATTCAAGATCAATGAAAGATTATCAAGTTTCATTTCGTATTATGGTATCAGAGCTGAAAAATTCCGCTTCTATGATTCAAAAGAATCATTTTAATTCTGTTCTTCGTTTTCGAATCAACTTTCATTCAATTTGATTTTGCAAATTGTTCTTGTGAAATCGATTTTCTCTATTGTTTTCAAATCTACAAATTGTTCTTGTAGATTTATGCGTTTTTTATTTGATTCCACAAATTGTTCTTGTGAGATCAATTTTTCTTTAATTCTTTGAGATTTACAAATTGTTCTTGTAAATTTCTACGTAATCTTCATCATGACGACTAATTCGTCATCTGTAAACATTTCTCCAATTGATGATCGAATGTCACCATATTACATTCATCATTCAGATAATCCTGGATTCATTCTGGTTTCCCAGCCATTGATTGGTGAAAATTATCCTTCATGGAGTAGATCGATGTTAATTGCACTTTCAGTAAAGAATAAAGCTGGATTTGTAGATGGAACTATTCCTGAGCCTTCTCCAAATGAAATTGTTAATCACAATGCATGGATGCGTAACAATAAAATAGTAATTACCTGGATCTTGAATTCTGTATCAAAGGAAATTTCAACTAGTATCATGTTTACAAATTCAGCGAAGGAAATTTGGCAAGACCTTCAAGATCACTATCAGCAAAGCAATGGACCTCGAATTTTTCAGATCCGGAGAGAAATTGTAAATCTCAGTCAAAATCAAGATTCAGTTGGTGTTTATGTAACATCCCAAAATTCAAGGCCAAAAATTTCATTTTTAAATAAGTTATTACATAAACCATCAGTATAAAAACATTCATAATAATATTTCGTGTCAAATCAAAGTGTCAGTAACCAAAACATTTTAGCATAAAATAATATCAGAGTGTAATCCCAAAGATCTCATGTGCGGAAAACATAGGGTGATGCGCTGCGATCAAGCCGACTCATTTCCTTTGAAAACGAGTACCTGAAACCAAAACTGTAAACCGTAAGCACGAAGCATAGTGAGTTCCCCCATCATACCACATACCACATAATACCATCGGTATCTTTCAACCGGTAACTGTCATCGGTATCTTTCAACCGGTATCCGCCATCGGTATCTTTCAACCGGTAACCGGGGACTATTTCACCCCTACCACTATCATATAATAACAGGATATAATCATACAGTCCGGTATATCTGGGGTACCGACCTACCCTTCGATCCTAACGACTGAGTCAGGGAAGAACTATTCCTTGCTACTACAACTGACACACATAGCATATCACATAAACATATCTCATAAGCATATCTCATAAGCATATCTCATAAGCATATCACATAAGCATACCAAGATAATTATCACAAAGACAATTATCTACCAACTACCCCTGTTGGTGGGCCGGCATTATGGCCTTAGACCCACCCCTACTGGAAGGTAACTCACCTCACACTGCTGAAGTCCCGTAGACACAATCCCACACTGCTGAAGTCCCGCAGACTCAACCCCAGCTGCTGGATGACAGATTCTCGAACTGTCAATAACAAACATCACCCAATTAATAATTGGGTCCCACTACATAACCATAAGTACATTCCTTGGGTAATTACTACATTACCCCAAAACTTGGCTTATTCAAGCCCAAGGCCCAATCCATAGGCCCAAAGTCAATTAGGAATCAAAGCCCAACACATAGCCCAATTTTCCAAATTGGGCCTAGGCCTATACATGGTCTCATTCTAAGGCTCAACATCATATAATCATTAAGGCCCAAACTATGGCCCATCTATGGCCTAATTTTCCAAATTGGGCCCAAACCCCTTACATGGGCCTTACCCTAGGCCCATTAATTTATTCCAGCCCATTTGCTTAATCTTGGATTGCCCATTTAATAACCCAATCATCAAGGCCCAACAAGAAACCCAAGTGAAATTAGGGTTTCACATAAAATGATGATTAGGGTTAAGTTTCCTACTTAACCCATTAAGAACTTAATCCATTAAGTTCAATATTGTTTAGATTAATTTTTGCCAATGATTATTATTTAATATCTCAAGTTATTAAATAATTCCCGCGTATCCCGGTTAAATCCCCAAATTAGGGTTTTATTGGCATTAGGGTTTTCCAATCCAAATATTAGCCCATTTATCAATTTGTTGGCCTTTTATGTCAATTAGGGCTTTATTGGGCCTATTAGGCCCACTGGAATATCATTAAGTCCATTAGGGTTTTCCTTAGGCCCATTAAGCTTCATTGGGCCCGTTAGGGCTTACGAGGCCCATTAGGGTTTCAAGCACCTCCAAAACTAATCAAACTCACAAGACAAGCACACGGCCACCCGACACGTCGGCCGATGGCGGCGGGAGGCGGCAGCCACCACCCTACGGTGGTGGTTTGAAATTTCTATTATTCCATTTTTGTTACAATTTACAATGTCAATCCGATTACCACACGCAGGCATACTAATCTAATTAAACACACACACACACACAACTACCTAATGGTGGTCGGCGGTGGCGCATGGCGGCAGCCACCACCTCACGGTGGTGGTGGTGGCTGTTCTCGTGGATTCTGGCCAAACCAACACCACCAACATGAAATAACACCCACACACTACACGGATTTGAAGCAAAACACACGCCCATACAACTCACAGCCACCACCTATGGTGGTTGGTGGTGACGGGTAAGGCAGCGACGGTAGGCGGCACTCTAGCGGCAGCAGCGACGACACCGGCATCCCTTGCTCGAAAAACGAACCCAACACCCACCTGTGGAGGGCGGCAATGGCAGCAGCAACTCATGAAGGAGAGCAGTGATGTAACCACCGGAAAGAAAAGGAGAAAAGAGAAGGTGGTGCGAGACCCACAACCAAAACTGGGCTGCCACACGCAGCCGGAAGCCCCACGGTGGCAGGTAGACGTCGGAAAACGGTGGCTTCATCTTCTCGTCGGAAGTTACCGCAGCGGCAGCAGCGAGGCGGCAAGGCATCGACCTAGAA